CTGTAGCCATCTTTTCACTATGGTGACACTGTACTGCTACGGTGACAGTATGTAAAAAAAAAAAAAAAAAAACCCAAATAAAATAAAAATGTAAACAAATTTTTAAAAATTATAATTTTTGGTTATAAACGAATTTGGGTTATTTTTTTTTACTAAAAAGATAAATACATTTTGGCCAAGATTTATGAAGAAAAATTTATTTGCAAAATGTTAAGAATAACATTTTTTTTCAAAATTTGTGGACTTTTTCATTTATATATATATATAAAAAAAGAAACAAAATCCCAGTGGTGAATAAATACCACCAAAGTAAAGTTTTATCTGTCTCAAAAAAATGCATATGGTACAGTGGTGCATGACTGCGCAATTGTCATTCAAAGTGTGATAACACTGAAAGCTGAAAATTGCCCTGGAAAGGGGTGAAAGTGTTCGGACTTGAAGTGGTTAAGCGGCCCTGTACCACCGTGTTTGTGCGCAAAGGCAAACACACATCGGTTCTACACGCATATGTAAACAGCGATTGCATTACACATGTAAGCTATCATCACAAATGCCAGAGCGAGAGCCATAATTCTAGCACCAGACCAACTGTGTAACTCTAAACTAGAAACCAGTGAAGTCTTTTAAAGCGTTGCCTATGGAGATTTTTAGGTACTGTAGTTTGTTGCCATTCCATGAGCGTGCGCAATTTTAAAGCGTAATATGTTAGTTATCTATTTTACTTGGCATACCATTATCTTTTATATTTTACCAATTAATTGGGTATTATATTGTGTATTTGTGCATTACAATTCAGTGGGTTTTTTTTATTAAAAACCACTGCACAAATACCGTGTGACATAAATATTGTAACACCCACCATTTTATTCTCTAGGAACTCTGCTTAAAAATATCATCTTTGTGGGTTCCAAGTCATTTTCTAGCAAAAAAAATGCTGGTTTTTAAATATATGTGAGAAGTGTCAGAGGTGGCCTGGGGGTCAAGTGGTTAAGTCATTTTTTCTTTTTCATTATCTCTCTGTAGCCATCTTTTCAGTCACATGAAGTATTAAATCGAACATAAACCATCCTGTTTTAATCCAGAATTCTGTTTATTTTATTGCAAAACATGGCATCATAATATTGTAACCTTTGTTAAAATTGACTTAAACACTGACAACATGTGAGAGTTGAATGCGCTTTCCAAATGTTAACTTTAAATTTGAGTGTGTTATTCCTTTTTCTAAATTAACTACAAAACACAGCAAAAAAGTAAAAGGCACATTAGTCAGAAGTAAATTTTATGCACACTTTGAGGACTTGTTTATACTTGGGTTGGTCTCAGAAAAGCATTCTGTTTTCTAAAAAAAGATACACTAAAGTGGATAAAGGTAGACATTTAAAAGTCTTGTAATGGTCTAGCCAAAGCCCAGACCTCAATCCAACTAAAAATCTGTGGAATGACTTGAAGATTGCTGTACTCCAATACAATCCATCTAACTTGAAGGCGCTGGAGCAAATTTGCTTTGAAAAATGGGCTAAACTAATAGAGACATACCCCACAAGACTTCCAGCTGTAATTGCAACAAATGGTGCAGAGAGGGGAGAGGATGAATACTTCTGCATACTCAAGATATTTGGGTTTTTGTCATAATTATGGTTTGTGTCGCAATAAAAAAAAATAGTCTGCACTTTCAAAGTCATAGGTATGTTGTATACTGTACATCACATGGTACAAAACACTCAAAAAAAAACATTTTATTTGAGGCTGTAATGCAACAAAACAGGAAAAACTGACCAGTGGGGGTGAATACATTCACAATGCCCTCAACACTTTAATTCAGCAGAGACTTTGATAAATGAAGAGGTGACCAGATTTGCATCCAGTTTTTTTTTTTTTTTACCAATTTGTTTGATGAATGTCCTCCAGTATATCTTGTACAAAAGCATGCAGCAATGTGCATATCAGGCACAAGAAAGCAATGAAACTGGACTAGACAACTATGAACACCCACGCAATGCCACCATTTTAGACATTTACAAAGTAGTTAACTGCAAACCTCAAAACTAAGTCCTCCCTTTTGGGTGGGAGGTGATAGAAAAAAAACTGGTGTGGGCAATAATTTCCATTTGCTCATCATCGCAAGCATAATAAAACTCCTGCAATATTCCTAAACTGATCCTTCTACAATCTGTAATAAACAGTAACTTGTAAACTGTAATAAAATATATATTTTACCCAGTAAACTGGTTTATAAAATACCGTCTTTATTATTTTAAAATGCGCTAACATTTTGATATCAGCTTTACTGAGTGATGTTATCCAATGGTTTATTTGTGCAACATCTACTTTGATACTCGATTTAACATGACCGTTCCACGTCTAATAGTCCGTGTACAATCATTAGCTGCATTATAAATGCTCGCTTTGTAGAATTAAAATACAATAAAGATATAAAGTAATACAGACATGGCAGGATGATAAGAATGCTATCCAACAGTACAAAGAAATTCGATTCTATTGGAAAAGTAGTTCAATGTTCAAAACCAGTGAAATTCATGGGACAGCTGGTCAAATATCTAAAACCCGGGACTGCTTCTGGATTCAGGAACAGTAGACATCTATGCATGTTTGGATCCAGCAATCCCCCACAATATTCTTCATGATCCAGCTGCTTTGCCTCATGATGTACTGGATGTTAATTGTGCCAGTGCATAGGGGTTTAGTTCATGACAAAATTCAGTGCAATGTAAGATTAAATCATAGCAGTAAAAGTGGTTGTAAAAGGCTCAGTTTTTTTCCGTCATGCAAAAGACCTGTGTGCAGCAGCAGCCCCCCCAATACTTATCTGAGCCCCACTGTGATTCAGTGATGTGCACAAGAGCCTCAGCTCTCTAGGGGCTCTCCCTCCTCATTGGCTAAGACAGCAGTGTCAATTACAACCAGTGAACCAATGAGGAGAGAGAAGGGGCAGGGCCGAGCCACGATGTGAATGGACATGCAGAGCAGCGGCTCAGGAGCAAGCCTGCTTAGGTGCCCCCATCTTTTGTAAGACGTGATGACTTAAGCGATCTTTTAAACAGTGGGTTTCTACCAATAATAAAAAATAAAATAATGAAAACAGCAGAGCTATTGCAGAGATTACCATCTCAAAGTTCAGCTTTAAGAGCAATTACAGCTGCTAATGCTGAAGTGTTTATTGCACACATGTAATACAGTACAGCACCCGCATTATTTGTGCTGGTAAAAGCAGGAAATGCACTTATTTTATCTCAGTCTGAGTTCTATGGGATTCACAGCAACAAGAATTCAGAAAGCACCTCACAGGGTGACTGGGAATGTACTTTTTAAAGGAATGTGCTTTGTAACTTCCTCTCTTAAAGCCGATCACATTCAAACGTCTTATGCTGGCCATACACTAGAAGAATTTCATTCAAAATATTTTGTTTTAAAAATGTTTGGAGATTTTCGAATTGTCAGCGGGGTCCAATTGATGTTCATTTTCAACCATAGTGATGAGAAAACTAAGGAGCAGGATGGAAATTTTTTTTGAACAAATGAATTTCAAACCGTGAATGTTGCTTTCATTTTGGAAATTGCATTAATTCCAAAGTCAAAAGGAAATGAGATTTTGAAGTACTTTGGAATGTCATTCGTCAAGTCATGGAATGTGCTGAGAATTTTATAAGACTTGTGTCACACAGGCTTCAGCTTGGATAACAGCAGGGTGAACAGCAAGCTTTTTGGAATTTTCAGCAAGTGTTTGAAAACTTTTCGGCAAGCTTCGAGCAACTTTCGCTAAACCTTTAAAGTGCCCTTCAGCACCTGTTTGGAAATGTTATATCAGGATCTTAATAGGTCAGATTGTCACTTTAAACAAGCTGCTAGCAGACTTCAGCAGGCTTTTATCAAGCTTCAAGTGGTGCTGAAGACTGCTAGCAGCTAGTTTACAGTGGCAATCAGTACTCCCATTAGGATCTGTGTTCAACATTTACAAACTGGAGCTGAATGGTGAGGAAACAAAGCACTAAAGCCAGTTGGGTACACACTAAAAGTTTTCTTTTTGTTCAACCCAGCAGGCTGAATGAAAAAACAGAGATCACCGTATTAACACAAGCGATGTTAGTGTGGCAATTTCCCTCTCTGTTATTCTGACAGAGGGACTGCCCCTCCACCCAAAACACACTGCTCAGTCATTTATTGCAAGCACTGATCAGATGCTGGTTTTCTGGCATGCCCATTTGACAGAAGCCGGTCCTGAAGCTGGCTTTTGTAGAACAGACAGCTGTACACACAGACTGAAAGTCACCCAATTCCAGACAAACCAACCGATGTCAACAGATTTTCAGCCAGTGTGTACAAAGCTTAAGTGACAGGGTAGTTGAGTGGCAAATCCTTTATATAAAAAAAAAAAAAAAAAAAAAAATCAGTCACAAACAACATTCAGGGAAACAGGATTATGAAGAGATAAAAGGGTGTGAAACTTCCATTGGGCTTTAAGTTGGGCGTCCCAAATTTGACTGGCAATTACCTTTAAAAGGACAGCTCCCTCCAAAACAAATATTTCTGCCATGAGCAAACGGAATCACAAGCTGGCCTAATGTATCAATTCTGCCTATTGTCAGAGTTCAAATGTGTGGTGGAGATGGACTCTTGTCACCATCAAACTGGGCTCATGACTATCACACTAATCAAGCAGTAGGAAGCGATCCAACACTTTAATGTTCTTGCTGTCTGAACTGAGCTGAAAGAAAACTGTTACAACGATAATAAAAATTGTTATGGAAATAATTTTCAGTCTTCTGGCAGTCATGTGAGTGATTAGCAGAAACAGAAAAAGGATGCACGCTGTGTTAAAATTTTGTTATATAAAAATCACACTTTGTTCTTATGACTCTTACATGTCTACGGGCCATCGACAGGAAAACTGGGCTTTACTTCATAAGCATGTACATGCCAGTTGATATAGGCCAAAGCAACCCAGAAGCACGCCATCTGCACTCATGACCGTGACTTTCTTATTACACCCAATGGGAAAAAGATGAAGCTAAAGAAAAAGTGATTTTGGCACATCCAATTTCCTGGACTCCATGGCTCAGAACAACAGTGACACGATAATTGCCGCTAGTAAACGTAGACGGCAGAGGTATATCTGGGACGTAGAAGCTGGTAACAGGGAAATAATAGGAACCCTGGAAAAAAAGCACACAAAACACAGCATTTGGTTATTCATTGAAAATTGGGCACAGTGATATACCAATACATTAGGTCCTATTTACCATCGGGCATAGTAGGTTTCAAGGATAAAGGTGGGGTAAAGATAAAGGACAGAGGTTCTTCCTGCAGCCACTGTCACATTTTAAAAACAGCATTGCTTTGCACAGCTACCTCATTCATTCACAGGATCTGTGAATGAATGAACTACAAGTCCTGTCTCCCACTGTAGCAGATGGCTAGCTGTCCTCGAACTATCAGGCAGCTAATCAGTATCCTTGTAGTTCACTGACACTTTCTACAGCTCACTGTCAGCAGGGGCGGACTGACAACTCATGGGGCCCCCGGGCAATAGGGGATCATGGGGCCCCTGTGTTCTTGCCCAAACTCAAAAAAGCCTATGAAAAAGGTACCAGGGGCATCTCATGGGGCCCCCTATTGACCCCGGGCCCTCGGACAGTGCCTGAGTTTCCAAATGGTCAGTCTGCCCCCAGGTCTGTAGGAGTCTGACATGCACCCCCAATGCACTGATCACCGATGCCCTGCAGGCTACAGTGTAAAAATAAATAACCAGACCTAGTGAGACTGACAGTTGTTTTGTGTTTCTTCCATTTGTGAATGATTGCACCTACTGCTGTCACCTTCTCACCAAGCTGCTTGGCAATAGTTTGGTAGCGCAGTCCAGCCTCTTGCAGGTCTACAATCTTGTTCCTGATATCCTTGGACAGCTCTTTAATCTTTGCCATGGTGGAGAGTTTCGAATCTGATTGTTTGATTGCTCCTGTGGACAGGTGTCTTTTATACAGGTAACAAAATGAGATTAGCAGCACTTCCTTTAAGAGACTGCTTCTAATCTCAGCTTGTTACCTGTATGAAAGACACCTGGTAGCCAGAAATCCTGCTGAATGATAGGGGATCAAATACTTATTTCCCCCATGAACATGCAAATCGGTGCATAATTTGTTAGACATGCATTTCTTTTCAAATTTTTTTTCACTATTCTGTCTCTCAGTGTTACAATACACCTACCATCTCAAGAAGAACCCCTATAAGGCCCTTCTCTGTAAACCGATTTCGGAACCTTTTTACAGCTACCAAATTGACCATAGCTAAAGCCTGGAAAACCCTGATCCTCAGCTTTGAAACTGTTAAAAACCGCATGAATGAAATTATGGTAAATTAAAAATTAACAGCCATACTATCAGATACCCATGAGAAATTTCTCAGAGTCTAGAAACTCGATTTGACAACACTCTTTTGTCGATATAACAACCCGGCATTGCGGACCCTCGGGATTCTTCCTTCTTTCTTCTCCGCCTACACTTTCTTTAGCTTTTTCCAGCTTTTGCTCGGCTCTTTTCACCCGCTTTCTAGGTTGAGTTCAGTTAATGTAATGACCTAGTGGCTGGGCATCAGCCTGGCCATGATGGTTACAACCTATGTAACTTCTGATCTTATAACTGGTTTGAATTGTGTCACACGATACTCGACAACTTATGTACATGCACCATTTGATGCGTACCTTGAGCACGTTATGTTTTTACCAACTGTGCTCTGTTATTTATGACTCCCATATTGTATGGTTGAGTACACCAGTTGTTGTGACATTCACCTTTGTGTCACTTTCATTTTGAATGTAACTGTCATACTGTTGGCTCTCTGTTTGACTGAACATTGACAATAAACACCTTTGTAAAACAAATTGCATGCTAATCTTTGTGGTGCAATTTGTATTGACGCAAATCGCACCACAAAGTATCGGTTTCTGTTATTGAGAGCATTTTTACAAGTACGAGTAATTGTGAAAATACTTGGTATCGGCACCAGGGGCGGACTGACAACTCATGGGGCCCCCGGACAATAGGGGATCATGGGGCCCGTGTCCTTGCCCAAACTCAAATAAGCCTATGAAAAAGGTACCAGGGGCATCTCATGGGGCCCCCTACTGATGCCGGGCCCTCGGGCAGTGCCCGAGTTTCCAAATGGACAGTCCGCCCCTGATACCGATACCAGTATTGGTATCAGTGCATCCCTACTTAGTGCCCATTCACACTATTGCACTGCTCTTACACACAAGGTAATGCATGTTGGTGCATTCATTCTGAATGGCACCACAATGCACCGTGCCAAGGGACATGCGTTATGGTAAGGTGTGATACTGAAAATGTTACATGCACCTTTCAAGGTGGATTGGGAAGCCCATTCAATTAAATGCCCCAACGCAACTGACATGTTACTGAACTGCAATGGTGTAAATGGCCTTTTTGGACTACTCTGCCCCCTCTATGTAAAAAAGTGTTTACCCACATAAGGAGAAAAACGCAAAAACATACTTATACCCTGACTTATGCCCTTGGCAACTGCAGGAAGATGATATCACAAGCCTTCCAACAGGATCCTAAAAAAAAAAAAAAAAAAAATGGAGATCCCAAATCTCATGAGAAAGTATGCTGTCATACGGCAGCTCTCATCAGATTTGGGTTTGTCAGCTTTCCCAGAATCTTACCAGAAAAATGCCACCATCACCTAGGTGCGTGGAGGTAACGGTGTAAGGCTAATGTTTTTGTAAAAGTAATGTCATGTTTTTGCTTTTTCTCCAAAATGAGTGATGTTTCTTACTCAGAACACTGTTTTTTTACATAGGCGTGGGGCCTAAAGGTAAGCAGACCTTGTCTAGCCTGCAGCTGGTAACACTTACTGACTGGAAGGGGCAGTGGCAGGGTAATCCGTAGCTATGAAGGGGTTCTGGACATGGCTGCCCTGGCTGAATTAGCTGATCCAAAACGTCACAAATGTCATCATAAGTGCAGCTGCCAACGTCATCTAGGCAAGGAATCTTTATCCATTCATGCATAAACTCCTTCTCTGCAGTGACTTTCACCTGGCAAAAAAAAAAAAAAATGGAAAAAAAAAAAAAACCACAGGTGTCAGAATTAAAAAAATAAAACCAAAGTAAGAGAAGGATCTTTTGTGTTGTAACATGGATACATACAATCTAAACATACAATCTAAACATACAATCTTGGCTGGAGACAGGCTTTAGCATATCTACAAACATGTGGTGCACTTTGCTCACACTTCAGCACTGAGTGTTTAATCAGGGTTAGCGTTTTTTCAAAAATGATCCTGAGAAAAAAAAGTAAACAAGGAAGGATCAGGGAACTACAAATGACAGAACCAACAAAGGCATACTTACAAATAATATGAAACCTTCTAAGCGAAGGGCAAGTCACACGCTAAAAGCAGTGATACCATATGAAACAAATTATTATTTATTATTATTACAGGTACTGATATAAAGCCATCAATTTACGCAGCGCTTTACATATATATTGTACATTCACATCAGTCCCTAACCCTCAAGGGGTGTACAGTCTAAGGTCCCTAACTCACATTCATACATACACATACTAGGGCCAATTTAGACAATAGCCAATTAACCTACCAGCATGTCTTTGGAGTGAGGGAGGAAACCAGAGTACCCGGAGGAAACCCATGCAGGCACAGGGAGAACATGCAAACTCCAGGCAGCTGGTGCCATGCTTGGGATTCGAACCAACGACCCTAGTACTGCCAGGTGAAAGTGCAAACCATATAGCCAAACAGACCTCAGCTGCTACACTTATAAAATATCAAGGCTTCTTGATACAAAAATGTACATTTATCACAGAATGTAGTGTACAAGTACACAGAAAAAAACACCAGCTCTTGTAAAATAAAGTACATGAACTCTATACATCACGCTGGGCTATTTTCAGCAGGTACACAAGTGAGTGCAGTTCCAGCACCTCCAGCACTGAATGGGGTGCTGGGGTGTGCTGGAGGGTCTACTGATGCTGGACGCTGGGGGATCTATTATCGCTCGGAGTTCTATTGTTGCTGGTGCGGATCTATTGTTGCTTGGGGGAGGATCTTATGTTGCTAGGAGGTCAATTTTGGCTGGTAGTGGATATATTGTTGCTGGGGAGGATCTACTGTTGAGGGAGGGGTTTATTGTTGCTGGATGCTGTGAAAACTACTGTATTGTTGCTGGTGAGGGGCCCATTGTTGTTGGGGGATATTTTGTTGAAGGGGGTGGATCTATTGTTGATGGATGCCGGGGATCTATTTCACCACTTGTTCTTGGTATAATTAACAAATTCCATGCAAACTACTTAACACAACAAGATACTTTGTTCTGTCTTATTTAAAAGGGGCTACCTTGGGAGGTGGGTATGGGGAGGGAGACAAGGTGCGACGTGAAAGGGGGGAGTTCCTGCACCTATTCTCTCAGAAAGAAAGCTCTCACATCATGTAGGGTACATTCATACCAGTCCTGCACAGAAAACAGTTCTGTACAAGCACTGGGGGTGGCACCTTAAAATTTTCCAAAAAAAAAAAAAAAGACACGGTTTATATAATTGAAATATTGGATAGACGTAGACTTCATGGGAGCTTTGGTGCGAAAAATTCCATTTTTAGGCTCCATGCACACTAGCATTGGATAACAAATGCTGGTAATAAATCAATCAGTAAGTTCCTATATTATAACCCTTCACACAAAATAACAACTTTCTCCCTAGAAAGTATATAATCTAATAAAACCTTTTGTGATACACATGAATCCCCAAATAAAATAAAAATAAAAACTCCAATTATTAATACACTCAATATAACTTCAACTAAATCGTGTTTACATAAATCCACACTCAAAAATAGACCCAAAAAATTATTATTAAATATATAAATTATATATAAAAATTATATATACAATTGTGTTCAATAAACCCAAAAGTGTCCAAGTCCCAAAAAAGATTTTTTCTTTCAATCCAGTAAGGCAGAAATTGGTTCTAAAACTCCATGATCACCTCAAAGAAAAAAGTAGAAAAGAGAAAAATTCATAGTGTATTACCCTTTTAAATATAAATATATATACACTCCACTCTGTGCACAACACAAAACGCACCCCCAAAAATTATTTTGTGAAAATTATATCCAATATATACCACAATCCAAATAAAAATAAATAGGTGAAGCAGAATATAAATAAATTAAATCAAATCAAATAAAATAAAACCCAAATCGTGAAAAAACGTGATCACTCCAAATCACAAGTGAATAGTGATACTAGGTACTAGTACCCTCTAAACTCCAGCCAAAAGTGATGCTAGGTACTATTACCCTCTTGCAGTATTTTCAAGCATGGGCTGACATAGGAAATCCGTATCTCTCAATCCTTCGCTTTCATAGATATTCCTCCCAACTCCTCATAAAAGCATAAAAGGCTCTTTAGGCAGAATCCATAAAAAATGGACAAATTTTAATAGTAACTCACATATAAACAGGGATATCCAGCTTCACATATTCCTCAATTCAAATTTCAATTGAGGAATTTGTGAAGCTGGATATAAAATATATATATATATATATTTAAAAAATGCTGGCTGCCTGCTTCTGCCATTAATACTTTAAAACTGCTGATCAGGAAAACACATCCAGATAAGCAGACTGGTATCTTCTGAAAACAAGGTTAAAAGGGGTACTTCCGCTTTATGCCCTCCTCCCTTCCTCCTGTTCTGTTCTAGCACTTTCTTGGGTTGGGGGATGGGAGTGGGTACCTGCCTTAGTGATCCACCAGAAGTTCTCCCCACCCCCGCCTGTAAACTTTTGGGACACACCACAGGTTCCAGATGGCTGCGGGACTATTCACAAAGCGTAGCATCGCTCAAACATCCACAGTGGGCAGCTGGCTGTGAAGCCGCAAGGAATGACAGCCGGCTGCCTACAGTAAACATGCCAGCACCAGTGACTCCAAGACTGGCGAAGAAGCGGTTCGGGTGAGGATGGCGCTGGATCCCTGGACAGGTGAATGTCTTTATATTAAAAATCAGCAATTACAGTATTTGCAGCTGCTAACTTTTATTTTTTTTCCAAAAAGGCCGAATGCTATACATTCAAGTCAAATGGGGAAGTGCCGCAAACGCCCCACAACTGCGCGCAATGTACGTGTTCCCTAAGGCTACGTTCACACTAGCTTTGTCAGCAGGCGGCAGACAGGCGTTTGGGAAGCGTTTTTAACGCTTTCCAAACGCCTCTGAAAATTCTGCACATTGCAGCACATAGTGCTGTTCACACGGAAGCGTTAGCGTCGTGGCAAAACGGACGCCTCTGGTCGAGTCAGAAGGAGTTGAAGCCTCCCATTCAAGTCTATGGTGCCGCTCCGCAAACGCCTGCCCAGCGTTTTCGGTGCTGTTGCGACGCGGTTGCGAGGCGTTTGCGGAGCGTTAACACCATTTAAACTTCATTATAGGCGTTTGTGGGGCGTTTTTAACGCTTAGCAAACGCCTACCAACCGCTGCAAAACCGCGCATACGGCGTTTTTGGAGCGTTTATGGAGCATTAGGGGCGTTTGGCAAGCGTTAGAAAAAAAGTCAAGTGTGAATGAGCCCGAATACAAAAAGCTGACGTTTTAATGATAGATATCCCCGTGGTTCTAGAGGTAGCAGTGAATTCTGGATGACAGTAAAGCTTTAATGTAATAAATGGGCCACATAAGGGTTTTTAAAACTGGGTGTGACATTCAGCTAGGAACATCCCTTTATTACAGTACTCTGTGTATTATGGTCGTATCACGCACATAAAAAAAAAAAATAAACTAAAAAAAAAAATAAAATAAAAAAAAAAAAAAAAAAAAAAAAGTACTGTGGTTTTGTTTTTGTGTGCAATACAAAAAAAGAAAATGCTCTGATAAATGATGTGTTTAGTACTTTGGTTTTTCTTCCACCTTTCTATATCCACACATGGACATACTTCTCCTTATTTTGTTAATTCCTACTATAGAAAATCATTGCTTCCTCTTTTTTTATGGCTGAAAATGCATTTTGTACAACGGGCAGCAACTCCATACAGAAGTGAAAAAGGAACAAGTGGGAAAATGACAGCAAATAATGTATGTCAATTGGTCCTAAATTGTGTTCTATAAAGACTGGTCCGATGTTTAATCTGCCCAAACATATCAGTTAGAACATCTCGGTATTAGTAAAACAACTGTTAACCTGTGCAAACACATACACTATGGCCTCTTTCACATGGACATTCCAATCTGGTCCACCTGTCCGTTTTTCAGGTGAACCCGATCGGAACCTCCATTCTTCTCTATGTCCTTTTACACCCGCCGATATCCAATCCGATCTGACCCACAAAAAAGGCACGGATGGGGATCCAATTCCCCTTCAGTCCGTTGGATTGGGTTGGATGGAAAGGGACAAGCGCTCCATTTTCTTCCGACCACACATTGGGGAGAGCGAGCTGCTCTGTGTCCCATCTGCAGCAGCAGAGCGGACACAGACCTGTCATCCTCTTGCTCAGCAGTGATCAGTGGAGAGATCCCCCACTGAGCAAGTGGATCTGCTAAACAGGCCCACCCATGTAAAAGGGCACTATATTGCCAAAAGTATTGGGCCAGCCCTCCAAATCATTGTATTCAGGTGTTCCAATCACCTCCATGGCCACAGGTGTATAAAAGCAAGCCCTAGGCATGCAGACTGCTTCTACAAACATCGGTGAAAGAATGGGTCGCTCTCAGGAGCTCAGTGAATCCAAGTGTGGTACCGTGATAGGTTGCACCTGTGCAATAAGTCCATCTGTGAAATTTCCTTGCTACTAAATATTCCACGGTCAACGGTTAGTGGTATTATAACAAAAGTGCAAGCAACTGGGAACAACAGCAACTCAGCCACAAAGTGATAGGCCACATAAAATTGCAGTGTGGGGTCAGCCCATGCTGAAGTGCACAGAAGTCGCCAACTGTCTGCAGAGTCAATAGCTAAAGACGTCCAAACTTCGTGTGGCCTTCAGATTAGCACAACAACAGTTCATAGAGAGCTTCATGGAATGGGTTTC